CCTCGAAAGACGTCTGAGAAACGAGCGCAGAAATACCATAAAGATGACGCGTCACTACCCAGATCTGGGCAGTGCTTCTGATTGGTTGAAGCAAATTTTACCAGCGGCACGACCAATCAGAAGCACTACCCAAATCTGGGTAGCGACGCGTCATCAGTATGGAATTTCTGCGTAGTGGTAACGTTGCGAATTGTCATCTCTTTTCTCAGGCTACATCCTTCCCGCACTCTTTGCAAAAGCCCTTTAATTGGTGTTTCTAAATCGAAGTGTCTCCCCGTCTTCCGTAGCCTCCCACACAGACGTTCTGCTAGTGGGACAGGAACGCGTGAAGAACCCTAAGAACTACGTCTGCGTGCAGAAGTAAATGGGTAGGAGCAAGGACTAGAACCCACTGAAACGGAAGTAAATATTTGTATAATGCCTGAGAAATCTGTAAATCCGGCGCTTCGCAGTTGCAGTGGTGACCATTTAAAAACAATGATGCAAATTAACTGATTTATTGTAATCGTGTTTCATTTCGTGTTTCATTTCAATCAGGGTATTTGTGACGTAACAAAGTTTAATTTAAATAGTATCCACACAGGCATCCCAGCTTTCTGTCTGACAAATTCTTCTGTCCTGAAGATCATAAATCTACCTACAAAAAATAAGAATATTTTCTTATTGTGAAATTAACATACTACACACCGTACTTGTAATAAACCAAGGCCAGGTTTTACGGGAAAGATCGATTCAGGCGCTCTTGCTTCAAAGCTGTACTTGGCGTATTAGTTTAGCCTGTTCTGGGCGCCAGTACGATAGAGGAGATCGAGTGGCGCGAAATGGAGAGAGGAGGGAAAAAGCAGAAGAACGGGAGATGAAAGAGGAACTCCTCCTCCCCCCCCCCCACGGCTTTTTCCCTACATACTTTTCTTTACGCTGTCCCTACTATCCTGGAACAGACAGGCTTTATTAGTTTCAGGTAATCAGACTACAAGTAATAGACGGTCCAAACACGCACAATCTGGTTACGTTCTGTGCGTTGCATTCATTCTAAATGGACTCAAAATGAATTCTGGCTACATACGTGCTGAGCATGTGTAATAGCATGTGTAATAGCAACATGGAGATTAGTATTGCGGGATCTTTAGTCGCCCGCAATTAAAAGACCTTTTTTTTTTCTTTCTGGACAAGTTAGCTTCATACCACTTTTAACCCTACAGAATGAAACGTCAAAGAGCAGTGCAATTAACTACCGTAAAATTCCCAAAATAAGCCCGGGGCTTATATTTTTCAAAGGCCCTTTTTGGGGGCTTATTTTTGGAAGGGCTTATATTCGGAGGGGCTTATCTATGGAGGAAATTTGCGTCTCAAAATCGATTGGGCTAGCTTCGCAACGACGATTTTTAGCGCAACACAGCGTTGCAATGCTGGAACAATTTTGTAACCATTCGAAACAATGTCGCAACAATGTTGCAACGCTGTGTAGCGCTAAAAATCGTCGTTGCAAATCGTCCCGTGTAACATCACTATAAGACTCATTGACATGAATTCATGTAACTACTCGATCCAGAATCTCTAGTCTATTAGCTCTTAGAAAAGTAGACAAGATATCAATGGCACTGATAGAGCTCGGAAAATCTGTGCTCGTGGAATTCGAAATCCTGGGCTCTGGAATCCAGAATACAGCTCAAGGATTCCGGAATGCAGCTAACGATTGGAATCGGGAATACAAGTTCCATCGACAAAGAATGCGGAATCTATCGCCGTGGAATCCAGAATCCAAACTATCCAGGATTCCTTTACCTGATACGAGACCCATCGGACAACGTGACCCGAAACGCAAAGGCCGCTTGCGGCTTAATGAGACTAGGAACAAGGCATACCATAGAGGACAATAGAACTTGGGACTGTGTGAAAAAGCCCGTCGAAGCAATTGTTACGTAGGACCCTGCTCTTAAGGACAATTTTTTGTTCGGCTTTGGGTTCATCCCGTCGTCCGCCCACTTCCCCTAGCAATGTTGTGGCCAAAAAAAGAACTCATTTTCACCCATTTTGCTCCCAATTCAACTTTGTTTGGAGTGGGAGGGGAGGGGTTGCTAGTTTTAGTAATATCAAGGGAAAGGTCCAAACACTTTTGACCTCCATTGTTGCCACTCCTCTGCTACTAGTGTCTAAACAATTTTACACACCTCTGCAAACACGACAGCTTCTTTTGCAGTTTTTAATCATCCAAGCCTTGTTCTTCATGCAGTCTCCTTTTGCGGCCCAGATGTGGCAGGTATGGTACCCATCTTGGTAACCTGCAAAAGAACAGAAAATAGACAAAACCACTCATTCGGGGACAATACAAGATTCATTTATATATATATATATGTTTTTCTAAGGGCCTGTTTACATCGAGGTGGGTACCCCAGGTAGGTGAGGTAACCGCCTGTCCATATAATCTCCCATATGGTCACCCCATCTATCATGTAACCGTGCTGAAATTAAAATGAGAGATTATATGGACAGGCGGGTTACCCTACCTACCTGGGGTCCCTCACCTCCATGTAACAGGCCCCTAGGGTGACTTCATATAATTAATCGATATATGCAGATATTTTTGGTTAGCTTCGGTAAATGTAGTTTTAGGTTATGTTCAGACCAAACCGAGTAGCTTTTCGTGCCGGACACGAAAAACTTTCCGGTATAGTACGAACACCATATGATATGACTCTCCACTTTGTAGATCGGCGCGGCGTAGCTTCGCTCCGTTACATAAATCACTCCGAAATTACCGTTTTTATGTTAGACTGCAAAACAGTCCGTATTTTTGCGTATTGAAGTGCGCGCGAGCAGTCAAACAAAAGGCCTGCAACGAGGCTGGAAACAGAGAGCCAGACTGGGGAGAGACGCTAGACGCTTTTTTCTCTCGCCTCACACGCCCTACGGGCGTGTGAGGCTCGCGGGCTTCACGCGCGTAAAACTCTTACGCCACGCTTTACCGATTTCTTTACTGATTTTGAGAAAAAAACCGACTGTTTTGCAGTCTATTTCTATGTGTGAACAGAAGCTCTATTCGTATGGCTTTCGTACCGGCGCAAAAGCTACCCGGTAAAGTGAGAACACAGCCTAAGATGTTTTAACTTTTCCTCTGCTCTCAATAGAGAGGAGAAGTGTGATGTCACGTTACCATGGTAGAAAAATTTGTGGATCACAACAACAGACAGTTTTTTACAACGACGACGGCGAACAACAAAAATCAATAGGTTTAGATTGGCAAAAGAACAATTTTGCACCTGCATCACGCTTTTTTGTACATTTCGTAACCGTTGTTGCCTGACTGCGACATGAAACTTCCTAATTTCACGCGCCCGATTTATGGAATCGGTGAACTAAACACAAAAATGTATTTTTCTTCCAAACCTTAGATAAGGTCCTTTCGGATTTAACACAGAAAAATTTCGCCAACATTTGACAAATTGAATGAAATTAAGTAAGCTCGATGAAGTTTGAAACAGTGCGAATCCACATTTTAAGTGACGTTTTGGTTTGTTGTCATCCAGAAATGTTGCTACCATGGCAACGTGACGTAACGACTCCTCCTGTCTATAGACATCTACTTTATCCCTCGGACATACACTTACACTTTCAAATTCCCTACCAAGCTTAGGCACGTGTGAGTTGTTGTAAATTTCTCTTCCCCCTTATGGGTTACCACGGAGTGAAAAATTACGTTGGGAAAACTAAGGTTTGAAAGATAACCTATCACCATAGCAACGTACTACTACTATATCAACCATAGTAATGTACCACTTAAGGAAGGCAAAAAGTATAGAAGGACCCCCCCGCCCCTCCCTACGCATATAGGATATAGCTGGGAGTTACCTTATTATAGGAAATTAACGCTCCATGAAATTAAGGTATTGGAAATAAACGCGAATTTAATGGGAAATGACTTTCGAATAAAGAAAATTAACGCGAAAGAGGAGGTAGAATTTCATAATAAAGGAAATTAACGCGATTACGACACAGTTGGAGGTGACAACTGGAACAAATTTATGTCAACACTGGATGCAAAAACATTCAAAACTAAACAAAACTGAGCTGACATCACTTCTGACAGCGACAACGATGAAGATGAACTCGAAATATTGTAAACCTTCCCCTTAGCTTTTGAGAAAGATGAAAAATAAAGGGTAAATGGAAAGAAAGAAAGCTTGTAGTTAATGTTTTTCAGGTGTCAAGAATGTTTGGACAGGTTCCAAAATTGGGGTTAAAATACTGGAAATTAAGAGCGCGGAAATTAACGCCGCACTTAATTAACGTCGCGGAAATTAACGCTCAACAAAATTAACACGACTTAAATTAAAGCGAATTTTAACGATTCGCGTTAATTTCATGGAGCGTTAATTTCCTATAATAAGGTAGTTAAACGTAAACATCAGCTAACATTTGTTTTACAACTTACTACATAATCCAGGGTCGATGTACACATCATCAATGGCAATATCTGAATATCCGGTCTCTCTCCCCATTTTCCCTATTATTGAAAGCTGCGAAAAATATGTAAAAAAAAATTAGACTCGGTGTTCTACAAACTAAGCTAAATTATGATTTGGAAAGGAAGGGATATTGAGAATGAGAGCTAGTCACCACATAGGGTTTTTCCCCAATGACAAGTCCCTCTAAAACTGCTGGCTTTTTTCATAACCAACGTGGTATTTAAATCTAAAAGCGTTAAATCCGATTATTCCTCGAGTATGTCTAAATTAAGCGCGTTATGGTCAATTGTCTCTTCATTTTAGCTTATTATAATCAGATCTCGATCGATTGTCCACAACTATGGAGATAACGAATTTCCGATGACTTACCCTGTAACTTAAATCCGTCGGAGGATCTATGTTTCCCATTCGCTCATCAACTTACCCTGTAACTTAAACCCGTCGGAGGATCTATGTTCCCTATTCCCTTTTTCCAATCTTTGCCTAGATCTCCTTGCTTGTAAAAAATGTACCAGTTTCTTCCGTCAGATAACGTCAATTGCCATACATCATGTAGTAAAACTTAAAGCACTGTCCGCCAGGCAGCCCCGAAAGCCAGGGACTCACTAACTCAGCTCTGTTGCCGGGTCTTGCTTCTGAAGACTCCACGTAAAGGTAATATCCTGTTTGGATCGGTATAATTTTACAACTGAGAAACTTCCCACCGACCCCTTCCCTAAACTAACGTTAACGGCCATTATTTAGGCAGCAAATATTTTGGATAAGGGGAGGAGAGGGTGAGCAGATTCACAAATCTTATAAAGCGATTTTACTTGACCCGTGACACAGTTAATAACAACAAGTAAAGCAAAATAACTACAAATAAACAAAAGAAGACAATAGGATTAGTGCATAATAGTACGTGGCATTCTACTACCTAGTTCACGGCTTAAGTAGAATCACTCTAATGATCTAGTTCAACTGCATGTTCATATATCTCAATCATAAGGTCTCGTTTAATTGGATCCAATAATATTGTAAACCAAATTCATTCAAATATTTAAATGTGTTATCTCCCTTGGGAAGTTTATTTACCAATTATTGAATGAGGCTGAGTATGATCTGAAGATTTAAGCAGATCAAAGAGGGTATCATCCGTCGAGGCCAGAGACCGTATTTTGTTTAATTTGTACATGTTTTCTCGCTTATACGCGACTAATAGAGGCAATGCAAAAGAACAAACCTAGTCCTGTAGTATGATCAGCACTACGCCCAGTATTAATAGTTTGCGTATAGGAACGATGAAACCTCCAATCTAAGTTGTCACTTTTAGAATTGCTCCACATTCCAGGGCGGCCATTCTCAAAGTCAATATCATCTTTATCTGTTAAAACGAAACGATGGAAGAACACTCGGGTAAATAAATGGCACGCTGTAAAATTTTCTGGGTAGATTTAATTAGCTATGTAGCTCCGCTCGCGCGCGCTTGGCACGCGTAGAGCTCCGCTATTATAAATATCACGCGGTCATTATTTATTTACTTGTTTATTCATCTACTTGTTTATACACATTCCCTCCTCGGTTGAAGAGCCTGGGCACTGTTTTCTATTATGTCCCGGTGGTGGGTTGTCGCATCTTCGAAATCGAGTTTCGACGCCATCGTTACAAGTTTTACTGCAGGGGCTCCAGTTCGACCAACGACCCCAATCACCGCCAATAGGAGCTATATAAGGTAACAGAAAGTCAAGTTAGCGTTTGCTTGATGAGTTATTTACGTTTGACTGGGCCCTTTGTCATTTTATTCACCATTTTCTGCCCATAATACATTTTATTTACCTCCTTGCCCCTTGCATAAGCATTTTCCTCAATTTTAGATTTGGTCTCGTTCACACGTATCCGGATATTTTAGAAAACGGACATTTTTTTCCGTTTTCGAAAAATCATTTTCGCCCGTCCAAACAGAAACGCTAAAACAATGGAAAAACGAAACCATACCATACAGGGCATGCGCTTTATGATGTATGACATCATCGTATTCGAAAACCTCCGTTTTCCTCCGTTCACACCAAAAGGATAAACCGGCCGGACCATTAAACTCTGGGGACCATTTCCATGAACCTGCATTTTTGGTACCCGAAACACCGTTAACGTGTGGACCAAAGGCTTAAGGGTTTTCGAAAATATCAAGGACCCTAAACTTTTTGATAGTTGTTTGTCTATTTGTTTGTTTTCTCAGAAGAACACAGTAAGGATGATCGTTGGCTGTATAAACTCTATACTTCTCGGACAGCCTCAAAAATAAGAGGAAATCGTGACAATTATATCAGAAGTTAGTTTTTTGTTAGAAAATGTTATTTACCAACCGAGGGCATATAGAAGATGGACACTTTACCCGCTGTTTTTCTACGCCGTAAACATTAAAGTTTCCACCACAAGCTGGTTGGTTTCCTAGCACTTCTCGTCACAGGGAGTCCATCCGGACCAGGAAGACCAACCATTTGTAAGTTCTAACATTAAAAAATAAACAACAACAACAATGCACGATTCGTATACAATACACTATAAGCCTGGCACCTCAAGTAGCACTCTGTCTTTTGCTTATGTACTCCTTTGAGCGCCAACTGGACAGAAATCTGGTAATTTAAAAGATAACTACTCACTTCTGCATTGGTATAAAGCAGTGATTTCGACTGCGTCTCTGGTACTTAGAAGGCTATTCGGTGATCCAAATTTCATGTTCTCGTTTCCCATGGCTACGATGGTCGGTTTGCCCTTTTTGTGGAATCCCCTTCTATCATTATGCTTGAGGGATTAACAATCGTTGGACACGCCCAATTATCCAGAGTCTACCACGAATATTTGTCAAACTGGTCTTTGAACTCTATAATAAAACGAAATTTAAGAGTAGATAACACACTTACTTGGCTTAAGGTATTTCTTGTAAAGACATAGTTGCGCACATTTAACTATGAAGGTGCTGGTAGAATATTACCCCATCGCCCCGGACTGGTGACATGCTAAAATTTGAACCAATTTAATGCATTTTAAAATAATTCGAAGTAAAGAGACGATAAGATTGATGTTTGAAAGATGCCAAAAAAAGGTATCTGCACACCTTGAAAGAAAACGTTTTGTGAAAGCTAAAGATATCACAGAGATTTCAAACCCAAAGTTCTAGTATAAACAAACCAATATTTTCAATTGACTTAGCTGAAAGCTAATGAGTGAATCGTCTTGTCATCAAATGAAAAAATAGACCTTTTTAGCTATTTAGCTTTTCAGTTTGCAGGAGCGTAGCGTTCATGGACGCACATACGCTGAAATATGGGGAAAAACTATACTTCTTATTTCCTGAAAAAGCGTATTTTTGTCATTAAATCGGGATGAACACTGATACATTTTTCGCACTATATTGGTGTGTTTATGTCAGTATTTCCTTTGTTGTTTTATTATACTATTATTCTGATGGTGTCACTGGTCTCTTTTAAACAGAGATGGGTAAAATGAACAACTAACTAGTGCTGATTTTCCTGCGTATTCATTGACTGAAAATGTCCTTCGGAAAACGCTGGAAATCCCATTTCCGAGAATCAAAATTTAAACATTTTCTAGGGGAGACCCCCAGTTTGGGCCTCCTTTGGCGCTTAAACTTTTCTTCCCTGCGTGCGTATACCTTGAAAATTCACGCTCTCCCACCCCTGGTTTGCTGTCTGTTACTATTGCTTAACACAACGTCAGTGTGATTTACTACACTGTATCTTACTTGGTGGAATGTTCTCCCAGTAGATCTTGACATATTTATCTCGATCGCTTCTTGCTTGTTCCTGAAAGAAACCTAAAGCAGATGAAAGATGTTATATACAACTGGATCTAGTTTACAACCTTGCCTCGTAGCCAGGCACTACTAGGAATTTTCGACATTGGTCGCGGCGCAAGGATCGCTTGCGGATAAGACCGTATCTCCTTGTTTTTCTCCTCTAGGGATGCCCGAAGCATCTCAAGCGGCGAAGAGCGAGGAAGGCTGTATTAGCCGGCTACCCTTCACATTGTAGGAAAATTGTTATTCATTATTCCAGTACCTAGAAAATTGTGCTTGGGGAATCCGGAATCTTGGGCTTTGGAATCCGGAAAACAGCTCAAGGAATCCGGAATCCCTCTAACGATTGAAATCCAAAATCCAAGTTACACTGACAAAGACAGGAATACAGTACCTGGAACCACTGCGAGGGATCCACAATCCAAAAATGTCTTGTATTCCGTTACATGGGGCAAACGGATGAACAAACTTGAAGTTGACTGAAATTGCACTTGGGTTTTTGAAAACTTGTTAGTCCAACAGTTTTTCAAAGTTCATTTATTTGTGTTGTTTGTAACGTTTGATATTATGCATGGGAGACATACTTGTTTGACCCAAATTTGCGATTTTGTCATTCACAAGTAATTTCTCAAGTTTTATAGCAAATAAGACAGCGTCATGTATCCAGATATTTTTCTAATCCGCAACGTTTTCTTTCCGGATTAAAAAATTTCATGTGCACACGTATCCATATTCAAATCGAATTTGCCCGTCCACACGCATCGACACGTATCCAGATTCACTCTAGTACCCAGGACTGGGAATATTGAAAACAGAGCATGTATCGAGGTTGCCATCTTAAATACAGTATTCACAGTGAAGAACTGAGCTCGCTCTTGTTACGTCACCGGGTAAAAAAATACCTAGATTTAGCATCCACACGATTCCGGAATCAAAGCGTATTGAAAAACCGGATACGTGTATCCGGAAACAAAAAGGTGCGTTTTTAAAAATGTCCGAAATACGTGTAGACAGGGCCTATAATGACACATAACTGATGTTTTTAAACACTGAATCATTGGATAATGCAATTCTAGAGCTCTGATTGGCTTAGCCATCATGGTATATGAGCCATTATACCATGCTTTCCAAATATTGTAACCTTACGCGTCTGCTCAAAATTAAAAACAAGCTGAAAATCCGTTGTTTTTACAAATAAAGTCGGGACGAATTCTCGATTTTTCGTGGGCGTTTTTAATAGCACAATTATTCCACTCGCGCCTGTTGGATATGAGATGATTATAGCCAAGGGTCGTGTAGCGCGTAGCTACGCGTCTCGTTGGCTATCACCATCTCATATCCAACGCACACTCGTGGGATAATTGGGATCGTTAACCGTTTCTGGGAAACTGCCCGCCTACCCCTCCCCGAAGGCAACATTTTGCCCTAAATGAGAAGTAAGTGGGCAGTTTCCTGGAAATGTATACTGATCCCAGGCTTGACACAGCCCCTTTAAAAACACGAGAGAAAATTCATTACCTATTGCATGCATCATTTCATGTACTATGATGCTTACGTGATTACAACCATCAGCAATGGAGATCTCTTGATAGGCGCTCTCAGCATATCGCTTTCTCACCCTTGATGAACACCTAAGAGAGAAAAAAAACAATAACAACGACCAAAAGTTCATCACCATTACAAAATTCTAGGGAACGATTTGTTTTTCAGGATAACATTTTTAACAATAATCTCCGTATACGTATGCGATACCTTTGTAATAAATATATGTGAAAGACACAACCTCCGAATATCGTGGGTAAGTTAGAAATGTTTAGCCTTTCTGAAGCTTAAGAAATTCCAAGGCAATATTTGCTCCTTTAGTAGCACACACCCATCATACATTGATGGGAATATCCCTCCGCTCCATTTCCTGGCTTTATACCTGAGTCACTGTATGGCAAGAAAAAAAAAAGAAAAGAATCGTATCGTTGCAGTCAGTTAATAGGACTCATTACTAAGGGAAAGACTGCCGATAAAAATACACAACATATTTGAACAATGCACAACTATGACGTGAATTCACCTTTTGGGACGAACGTTAACATAAGACCTCTGGAGCCAGGTTATGGTTTCCTTAGGGTTTCTTTGGCAGTGATTATGATATACTCGTGTTTTAAGTATATCCTCGCACTTTTGATTTGGATATCCCCGCTAAGACGCCACGACTAGCGTTTTTGGCGATAACTGCGTGCTAAGAAATTGTACACAATGTTATGGCAATAAATTCTTTGTCTTGTCTTGTCTTGAAAACCCAAACACTGTGACTTACCTACTTTTCAAAACGGAAAAGTGTCCGTATTAAGTGGACTGAATTTAGAGAAAATGTAAAGGCTTTCTTTCCCCAGGGACAAAGCAAACTGTCCATAACATCGAGGTGTCCATACTAAGCGTGTGTCGATCTGTACAGCGTTTGACTGTACTTCATTGTTGCCTTTCTGGCTCACCAAGGGGGGAGGGGGGCGAGAGGGTTACTCCCTTATATAAGCCATATAGGTTTGTACCGCCCCAACGGGTATGGGATTTGGGTATGGGATATTTATCGACTGAATAGAAATATGCGAATTCGCCAACAAATGTTTTGTTGGCGCTCTAATCTAAGTAATGATAACATAATTTCTACCTAAAGACCAGGTCTGAAAGAGGGTGCTAATGGGGGTACCCAATTCTCGGTTAATTACTAATTGTTCAGCCAAATATCAGTTACCTACTATTTTTTGGTCAATTCACGGTTAACTTCTAATTTTCATTGGCTAGCTATTAACTTTCACTTTCCTACAGCAAATATTATTCTGTCATAACCCGAATTTTCTTTACTTCAGCATGTTAATCACTTTTGGGGATAGGCCCAAGGTATAAATTTACATGAATTCACATAAACTCCACCACTAGTACAATTTAGAAGTAACTAAAAATATGGACAAGAAAATAATTATTTAACCGAAGTAGCAAAAATGGGTAAGCAATAGCTCGAAATAGCTATTAAGACCCCCTATTTACTGGTTTTTGCTGTAAGTGACCACCAACATGACACCAGGCTCATAGATCCAGAGGCACCAGTGATGATCTCGCAGTACTGATCTTCCCGAACTGGTACAGGGGCACCCAACGTCAATTTTCGGAAAATATCTGTTCGAAGACGATTTCGAGATCTAGAATTTTCGGAACATTTGTTGTAAAATTTCTTTCTTGCATGCCTCTCCTAGGATTTTCGAACATCTAAAAAATGATTCAATTGCCCATTTTTAACGGATTTTTACCCTAAAAAGATCACCTAGAATTTTCGGGAGCCTTTTAGCCAGCTGAAGTTTTCGAAAAGGTAAGTTTTCATCCCTATAATTTTCGGATCACTAGACTTTCAGCTAAGAAATCCGAACAGATGAAAAATTTTTAGGGGGTAAAAATATGCCAATACTCTACCGTTTAAATACTAAAACACGTTTAACAATGCTATGTTTAAGTGGTTTTGAACTATATTCTTGTTGGTTGCCCCTGCTGGTCGTGCATGTCCTGCCATAAACTACTTCAAAGTCACGTTCTTCGTCTCTTTCACTATCTGTATTAGTCACTTACCTTTCTGGTTGAAAATACCGGTATGTGTCCTGCATCTTGTTGTTGGGCATGGCGTACGTTTCAATCCACTTTGAATCCTTGCAATCCACTGCAACAGAGACGACGGGAAACAATAGCAATGCCAAAATAAACTAAAAAATTGGACCATTAATTTTGGAATTCAATTGATGCAAAAATTTTTTTTTAGCTTTTTCAAAAGATAGCAAATAGCATGACATATACCCATGATGCTGGTGATAAAGATCCCGCTTTATCTTAAATGGGCTTCTTATAGTTCGTTGTCAAACAGGTTGAAAGTTCTCTATCCAGTCCACCCCAATCCCAACTTCATCTTCTTTTGTCATATTGTTTGCACCGATGGGAGAGACATATAGTTGGGAGAGCTAACAAAGGCATGATGTATTTGACATGGGACAATTCGACTTTTCGTGAGTGTAGCCCACTTCGAATTCGTAGTTCGAGGACGAAAACGGACATGCTCTTTTTTTTTTCTTTGGAGGCATTCACTTCCAAAATCCAGGAAAAAACAGCGAGCACAATACTTATAGACAACGATTTCTGTCAAATTGCGTGATTAGCTTGGTTCAACAGTGGTATACGTATCAAGTATGACAGGACTTGTCGAGGATCAATTAAAATAATTAGCAATGAAAAAACTTTTGCGCTCCAGAAGTCTGTACAGAAAAAACATTTTTTTCCTGGAATTTTTTTTAAAAGAAAGCTCTTGATGAGCTCTATGTAATCATTTAAAAATTGCAAATTTCGAAAAATGATGATCATTTACCCTGGATCATACCTTAAGAGATTCCTTCACTCCATTTCCTGTCTTGGGCGTAGTTCAAAGCACTAAATGTCTTGTGTTGAATGAATCCGAATACAGAAATCTTGTTAATATTATAATTACAAGTTATTTGTTGAGTTGTCTACAACCAGCTCTATGAAGGACTCTTTCTGTTTGCCGGTGCTCTGGTGCCTTTTGCACATAATAATATCAGTTAATGTGCCACTGGGTCATCGCTGGAACACAAAAACTCAGAAAATAGCATTTCTGTTTGCAAAACTTTGTTGCTTTCATAAACTCAGTATAATTACTAGAATATCTCTTAACTGTTAACTTTTCATTTCTAAGTTAACTACCTGTTTTTTTTGGATAAATATCAGTTAACCGTTATCGATGGCACCCTCTTGAAACAGGGTCAGGATTTGGAGAACCGGGCGGCACACCCCCCCACCCACCCAAGGATTCCCTGGGTAACGCCCCCTAGTTTGCGACTCACCTGACAGCCTACAAGACGAGACTGACTATCTAAACAACGTTTTTAGTAAGAACAACTACAATACGGTCCTTGTTAGACGGAACACTCTCAGTAACACTGATTCCAACACTCAGACCAACGTCAACGCTAGCCCTGTGACGACAGCGACTATAACGTACATCAGAGGCACCTCTGAAACTATCGCACCTATACTACAATCTTACAATATACGTGTTGCACACAGACCGATTACAACTCTACGACGACTAGTACTAATGTCAAGGACAAAGACAAACCAGAGGACAGACAGGAAGCAGTATACAAGATCAAATGCTGCGACTGCCAGGCTACTTACATTGGTGAAACCGGCAGAAACCTTAGCACGCGACTGACGGAACACAAACGACGCGACAAGAAATGGTGACGTCAACAATCACATTGCTGAACACCATTTACAGACGAAACATCAAATCGACTGGGACTCTGCGACATGTATTACGTATTCTACAGACTACTATTTCTACTACTAGCTGGTTTACTAACTTAGAACAAACGCCACTGAGCCATAGCCAATAGTTACCAGCACCGTACAAACGACTTATTGACGAGATCTAGCAAGAAAACTAACTACGAGAGAACGACTTCGAAACTGACAATTTGACTAACAATAGACGACTGCTAAACCGTGACAATAGACGGATCGAAACGCCCCGATTACATTACGAGTCTTCATAGCCAATAACATCACGGCTTCACTGACGAACGACCAATGACATCTTCTTACTTCGCGACGTAATTGATCAATTGGATCAGAAACCAGAGGAGAATACCATCAACTGACGTTATACAACTCACTTTCACTCTGAAGGTGACTACCGCACAGGTTGTTGAAACGTCAGCCACGGTCAACAACAACAGTCCTATTCAGGACTACGTTCACCCGGACGATCAAAATCAACCTACTTTTGAGATGACTCCTGGGTTCAAACCTTTCACAATTATGTTTGTGTAGGCAAGGTTAAGGAAAACACATAATATGCATGCATTGATGCTATAAACGATCTCGCCCTTTGTTTTTGAAAAAAAAAATAGAAAAAAGAGGGAACAAAAAGTCTGTGAGCATTTTAAAAGATCAAAGCACCGCCGCGCTGACAAGAAGTTTTAATTGAAGGTGGATAATTGAGGTGGGTTTCTTCGTCCAGATCTATTTTTCTTTTCCTTTTTTTATAAATAAATAGTAAGAAAGAAAGGATATTCTAACTCATTTCAGCGAGCATTTCAAAGTTTACTTACCAAAAAAATCAATTATAGCTCATTGAAATACAGCTAGATTTCACTTGACCTACTCCTTATCATTTCTTGACCTGTACCTATGCCATACACATCCCATCTCCGGTCCATGCCGTGTGAACAAAAGTATTCATTCACAAAACTGAAATTCCGGGTCTTTCTGCGGGTACCGTCATCAGAAAAAAGTCTCGATCAAAGACTGTCAGAAGAGCTAAAACTACAGAAAATCAATAAACAGGAATACTAATAGGGAACACACCGTCTTTTTGTCCCCAAATAGTATTTGCTCGATTCAAATAAAAAGGAAGAATCTTCCACAACATTTTCCATACGCGTTGGCTAGAAAGAAAAGAAAGAGAGAAAACGGCTTTTGAACATGAGAGGTAAAATTCCTGCATGCCGACAACAAAAGTGTGGAAAGATAGTACCTATTTGCCAAGTTAGGATTTTAAGTTGGATTCCGAGTTAGGATTGAAGCTGGGTGTTAAAGTTAGGATTCGAGTTCCATTTTCTCTCGAAATCCCCAGTAACCCTCTGTAACCTTTGTAACACTTTGTCCCCCCACGTAACTTCAGACTATAACCTTCGGTACCGGCCCTTGTAACCCCCTGTAAACAACTGTAACCCCTTGTAACCAGCGGTAGAGAAAGTGCTGTCTACGAAACTTAAGATGGTGTCGTGTTGAGAGTCATTCAGATTACAACGAACACCAAGGATTTAAAAATGGCTGTTATAAATAAGATAATGACCTCGCCTAAAAACAGTGAGGGGGGAAAACACCTCGTATTTAACGCTTAAAGCAAAACTGCATATTGGAACGGTTTCTGTCACAAATTTATTATTTAGATTTGTATTAAAAATGTCTGTTACTTATAACATTGCTGATAGGATTCAAGATGGTGCGGCCATTCCGCATTACGTCACTCAGTGTACAATACATACATTTGACGTCATTACATTTCGTGCCCTGCTTTGGCTTAAACTATTTTTAAGGGATTTGTTTATGGAACTTGTAACAAAAATACTTTGTCCAGCAGGGCAAAAGTATAAAATGAGGTTATCAGTGTTTCCTGACTTTCGTACATGTTATATATACAAAGAAACTGACATTCGATTCTAAAGTTAAAATAACTATTTAGCATTACTTGTATAGGTACGGATCTTGGAGATCTTGAATGGTACGTTCTGTTGCAAACTTGAAATTGAATTGATATTTTCTTCACTAATACAGACAAGAAGATGGCTGTATGCAAAGCGTAATAATTTTACAAATTCTACAGACTACAAGTCATTTGGTTCTAGCATCTGACAGAGGTGGCTAAGTCTGTTTTGGGCGGGCAGCACTTCCAAAACGAATCCAAATTCCTTGGCCTTCTTTAAAGCTTCCTCTGCATAATAAATCGCCATGTGATAGTTGCATATGCGATAATGCAAGTCAGAGCAAGCCAAGAGGTATTGAATTTTTCTCCTCTCAGTGATCTCGTCCAGACCGCGCCTTTCTATCAAATTTAGGAAACGCTTGGCCTCTTGGATGTGGCTTGTTGTGACGCACCTTTCTCGCCCTGAACTGCTCCCACAATCAAGCAAAAGCATGGCGATCTTGATAAGAGCAAAACTGTGCGTAGCAGGAATAGCAGAACTGTCGGATTTATCGAGCCGTCGGCAAAGATCAAGGCATCGCTCGAAACATTGCTTTGCTCGAAGAACAAGCTTCTTTCTCAAAAAAGCGCCGTTTGAGATGAATTCCTTCATGACATTGCCCTCCTCGTAAGCCATGAAGCTTTGATCAAGGCAGACATCCATAAGATGGAGATTCTGTTTGGACAGATCGATGCACTGTACCGCCTTTCCCAGCTTACGTTCTCTTCGATAAACATGCGCAAGGTAGTAGTAAGCTCTGCCAGCCAGCAGCTGATGATTCTTGGCTTTGGAGGCGACCTTGAGCGCTTCTAATGCTGTTGTTTCAGCTTCCTCCAGCTGGTGTTTGTACAAAAGAGCAATGGCTTTCTCCAGCAAAATCGCAACTTTAAAATCGGGGATGGAGGAGTAACGCTGGAGATTTGCGCATTCTTTATCGAACTTAACCCAGTCTCCATTGTCGCAAAGCTTGTGGAGGTCGTTCATAATCTTGCACAGCCTGGTTTGTTCGCGCGTCAGGGACACAAGTGGAACTTGTATGGTAAGTGGCACTTTGAGATTACGACAATCTTTTTCTGCCTCGGCCCCTCTTGAAAGCGGCAATTTCCAGGTAGTGGTTTCTACAACTACAGTGACGTGATCTAGGACCTCAAAAGCTACCCTCTTCAAATTCGTTTCGGGTTTGATGATCACCTGAGGCTTGCCATAAAGGGTAAACATAATCAGCAGCTCGCAGTTTGGTTCGTAGAATCGAAACCAGTAACCAATCTTTCCGCTCACTCGCTTAACGTGCTTTGATTCCCAGTCTCTTGCACTTTCCTTCGTTGCACTGTGCCTCACATCCACAGTCACGTGATGCATCACGTGCTGGCTACCATAGCCCAGTTTCTCACTGCTTTCATTGGCAACGTTCTGGCTTTTACGCACTTGCAACTCAACAAAGATGTCTGTTCTCGGATCTGGGAATCCTGCTCGGCTTCGGCTGATCGGAACGACCGAACATGGCCTCCGAAGTAGTAAAATCTTCGGCTTGTCGCTCCGGCTGTCGCTGAATCCTCCTTTTCCCGCTTTTTCTAGTAAGGCATACTGGAACAATGTATCCTGGATATTGCAAGCGTCGTTTTGCTCTTTTTCTTTCACTTGGTTATCTTCGCCTTCTAGATCATTGCTGGTCTCGTGTTCCGAGCTGTAGTCGTATCTTCTCTCAGATTTCTCCACGGCTGTATTTTTGCACGCGTTTGCACCAGTTTCTAAAAACAATAGTCAATAGAGGTCTTAATAGGTAAGGCTCAGATTATATGAAGAAAAGTTTGTCCCAGTAAAGAGGGTCAATCTCTCAGCCGAGCCAACTTAAGCGAGCGTTTACATGAAAAAAAGTTAACCTCTTTGCCCGAGCCAACAATGCTCGCGCATGCTCCTATTGTATAAAACAGCGCTTACGCATGCTCTGATTGTCCGGTCTTGACCGAGTTGACCTGGATGAGCGAGCCAAAGTGTTTGTATGGAGAAAAGTTGGCCCGGCAAGGAGAGTGAACCTACCATCACCAAAGGGTTACCTGGCTAGACGGCTCACCTTTCCAACCGAGTCAACGCTTTTTGCTTTTCATGTAATCATTTCGCCATTTCGTTTTGCAAGGTAATGTAGGAAACATTGGAGTACCAAGCGTAGCTGGGGTAGGTGAGTGAAAATTCAAGCAGGGATAAGTTTTCTCCACATACACAATCAAACTACCATAGTTTTTCCATGAAGAACCCAAGTTTGAAGAAGCCCATGAGATTCAGTATAAAATAGTCATCAGAAATACCCTATTGGGTCAACCGATTTTGCTGTTACTGTAAATTTTTTAGCGTGCGCGCTTTTGCAAGAGTTCTACTTATAAACGAAACTGTTTGGAGGCATACCCTCACATTTTGGAGCACGGTTATATCGCGCAAATCCCCGCAAATCTTTCTGTTTCGATATTTGAATGTTTTATTTGAGACAAAAAAACGGTTACAAACCTTAAAAACATATCACTAAGAAAACTCTCATCCACGGCGGTTTGTAACAGCTATCCTGCTTTTAGCAGTTTGAAACAAAATGGATTAGCTGCAATAATACCTGCCATTCATATTTTTATGGTGGACTTTACCATGATACTTTTTGATCCGGTTGTATAATTTACATGTATACTTATGTTGAAACAAAATATTGAGGAAAAAAATTACCTTTAGCTGCTAGCATTGGCTCGCTGTTCTTTGGTCGCTCGCATTTTTCAGCACCATTCAGTAGAAACCTACGTCATAACAGATCGAAGCAAAATTTAAGAGATCGATAACGGGATCAGGAGAGATGTGAACCGGAGTGTCTTCCTAAATTTTCTTTAAAAGCCTTTTGGCCGGTTTCACGCAACTGCGTACACAACTTAGAAAAGAACCTGACGTGAACTGCGGAAGTACAAATCTCAATAAAGGTAAAAGTAAAGCAGCCATAGTTTACGTCGATAACTCGTAACAGTAATAACTAATAAGCTTGAGGTCGACAGGGCGCTCATTTTACTCTCCCCCCCGCCTCTCTCTCCATCAAGGCTCCGTTTGAGGGGTATTTAAAGCTAGTCAAAGCTACACGGAAAGGAGAGAAATTGAAACAAGGATGTGATGTCACCGGGGATCGAACCCGGGACACCCCTCGTGCAGCGAAGGCCGCGCACTAATCAACTGATCAATCCTTAAAATGAAGATTTGATCATCGCAGTTGTAATCACAGTTGCAGCAAATTAAGCGCAAAAAAGAAGAAAATAACAATCATTCAAGGCTTCAATAGGACTCCAACCCAGGGAGCCTCTGCGCCAAGCACGGCACTACTCTACCAACTGAGCTGTGAAAACCCATACTTTAAGAGCAAGCAAATTTGTTGAGTTCAGTCCGTACTGATCCCTTCTGATTGGCTTTAAAATTTCGCGCCGGCTCTTTAACAAGAACATAGCCAACACAAGAGCATAGCGAACCCTCTGGGTTGCATGTTTGAGTTCACAATGACACGCATTTTTGCTCCTTTTATGGCCATTTTCATTTTTGGGGGAAAGCGCTGCTACTGGTCGCAAAATAAAAGTTGCGATTGCCGACGCGTAGCAAAATCATGGACCGCGAAATTCAAAAACTTCGGAAAGCCATCGTAGCGTTACAATGCAGTTAATATTTCTTAGTGTGAAATTCTCCGCCGCAATAAGTTAAGGCGGAAAAATGTGTTTACACACAAACAACCGGGCCACGAAGACATTTTCCTCACAATATTGCACTTGCACGAAATGTCATTTACTGCTTTTTTTTAACGTCAAGTGAGTATGCGATATACACTTCCGTTTGCACTTTTCTGTGGATTCCACCGTTAAATTTCGGTATTTCACTTTAAAAGAGAGACTATAGCCTTTAAAAAAGCTCGGCGTGTGAAAATACCTTCCAAAATGGAATTAAATCGCTTTTGGGGCGCACACCTTATTAGAGATCCCGACTATGGCCTAAATAAAAAAAGTCCGTAATTCTTCTTTCTAGATAAATGGATTCATTCCCAACTGCTGAGGTTTGCAAAAGTGATACGCGGCACTCTCTTTGGACGATTCTCAGGCGGCACAAAGTCTTTTCGCCCGACGGACTTTCGCCTGGACTTTGCTTTGCCCGGCGAAAGACAACACGATAATCATATCTCCTTGTCCGACCCAAACGCACCCTTGATTACACAGGATCGCTACGAGCTGAACAGCGACTTTCGGACTAAGTAACCCAATTCCTCTTTGACCGAGAGAAGCTGAACCAATTTTTTGACAGTGGGGCTTTTGTAGCATTTAGTAGCTATAATATTAAGTTAAAAAAATGAAAAATGTGTTTGGGTACTAATTACCTTTCACAAAAATCCAGCACAGAGGTACCTTCATCACTTTGGCTGTTTCTGCTTCTAAGATGCTCAACAAACGACAATAGTTTGTTTTTACAGTGCTGTAACACTTGCCATGCGACTGGGCTGTTTAGAAGTGACGATAGAAAGTTGAAGGCTCTTTCCTTAACCGCCACAAACGCCATCACGCGAAGAGAAGAGAAACTCAAAGCATGCGAACCTGACAAATCCCACACTGTAAAAATAATGATAATAATAGTAAATAAGAAAAAAAACAGAAAAGTAATTGGTAAGGAGTTTAAAATCGCCTGTAATGATCAAAGTTTTCCTCACTCCTCTTTCGCCAAGTTTACGTTTGAATGAAATACTGACTTAGCTTCTCCTCCCCGGAAATTGCGCTTATCTTCATTTCCAGGTTAAAAGGCGAAAACACTTTATATTGGAAAAAGTGAGTATTCAGGTACATGCGCAGTATATTCAACTGCGCTTTCACTTCTTTTACACCTCGCCTCGCGATCGCTCGACGCCAACCTCTTTCCCAGGGTTCTTTTCTACTTGAGAACGAGGTTCACCAACTTAGCCGCGCAGATGGCGGTTTTGTTTGGGCGCACACGCAAACAAGCTTAGTGAGCGGTCGCAGAAATGGTGAAGCCGCGAGAAGATTGTGCCTTTAACACATTTCCTTCCGCTCTAAGATTGTACAAGATGGCTAAGATTGAGCAAAATCTAATACCGAACTGTGTAAAATGCATAACATTACATACTGGGTGTACTGTTTTTTTGGAGACAACCCGCGCGAATGCGTGCGAAAACCGTCCCCCATCACCTAACACCCGCCTCAGAAGGTCTCTGTGAAATTGCGCCAATAATATTAAGTCTCATCTGTTAAGGCTGGTTTTCACCAGTGACGGAGTCGGAGTCGGAAGTGGAGTCTTATGACTCATTGAAAATCAAAAATTGGAGGCGTAAGCAGAGTCATGAGCGCGACGAAAGAATCAGAACGTTTCCATTTTTTTCTGACCCCGCTTACGACTCCGTCGCTTACGATCTAGTGAAAACCAGATTGTCGGAGTTGGAAGGGAGCAGAAGGATAAACCAATCACAACGCACGTTCCCATGCTTTGTGATTAGCTTAGTTCTTCTGCTTGTGACTCCGACAACCTAGTTTTCACTTGATCGTAAACGACGGAGTCATATCAGTATTATGTAAACTGATTTTTATTAATTGTAAGATATTCAATTGTATTATATCAAGTTTATTCATATCTATAATGTAATGCGCGCATGATCATTTTTTGGGATGCGCGCAATAGAAGTAATAAATTATTATTATTATTATCTCTTTTATCACAGTTTTTGCTGGTGTTCTTTTTGTGCATCAGCCGGGCGCAAACCATGCACCTAGAGCGTCAGTCACTCAAGTCAATCATTCTGTTCATACACCGAGCACCTTTCTGAGGATTCGCGCAGATCCCAGCATAATTATTGTTATTGTTATTATTATTATTATTATTATTATTGTTATTATTATTATTATTATCATTAATATGAGCGAGATAGAAGTATAAGACGGCTTACTTCTGTAGTTAAGTGAGGCCTCTCCTTCCTTAGAGGAATGAATATCCACTTCCATATGATCGTCATCCAGAGCCTTCACACATTGTTCAAACTGGGTCATTAGGCTGGCATTGTACGTGTAGATGGTTTCACCAATGTAACGACCGTCTAATGCGCTTACAAGGACGTTCACTGTCAGCTTGCCACGGGCTAGTTGAGCTCCTGAAAGTCCTGTATTGATTAAAACTAATTAATCCATGTGTTAAAAAGAAATTTAATGGGCCAGAAGCCCATAAACCGGACAGAGTACATCCCATATTAAGCATTCATAAATTATAAATAACTGAAAATGGTTAACCCACATAATCCTGAAGATTCCTCGTCTACCATTCCTGGGCGAATTGAATTTTAGAGAGGGACATGGGGGTTTATGGTATTGCGGTATTGAGCTTTTTTTCAAGCGGTATTTCAGTAATTTTGATTTTACTAAATGAGCGGTATATATTGTGGTATCATCCATCCCTGCGGTATGCGGTTTCTCATCCTTCTGGCTAACGGTATTCGGTAAAAGAAGATCCTTCACGGTATTGCGGTACTGTTCATTTGGCCTCTCCTGTCTAATGTAGGTCAATATTTGGAAGACTTTAGACTTAACGGTAAATGAATACACAATTTCTGACAGTTACTCTGTGATGTGGTAAGACATCTAATGACCTGGCTTTTCGATCGTTGTACCGATCAATTCGAGATCTTCTCACGTTTTCTCGCGAAGGCTGAGGTTGATTTCTGGTGTATACATGCTTGACATAAAAAAAACACGCGAGATGGATACAACGTTAAGTAAGCGTCACCGATCATAAAAGCGGTATCGGTATTTCGTCCATTTTCGACACGCTATTTTGGTATTTGCCAGTTTTTCGTACGGTATTGCGGTATTGGGTATCCCCCAATGTCCCCTCAATTTAGTAATGTTGGTTTTGGAAGAGACGCGGGAAACCGGAAAAACCTCTCGGAGCGATGGAGAGAACCAACATACGTCGACGCCGGCATTTGAACCCGCGCCACATTGGTGGGAGGCGAGTCCTTTTCTCTGCCTTCATGACCCACGGTAACCACATTTTAGAGCACATTTTCCCCTAAAGATCCCCTCTGTTTATGTGCGTAAGTACTAGGTACGGTTTTAAGAACAGGCGGCATTGATAGCCAAGATGGCGGCAAGATTGGCCATGGATCGCCGATTCTTGTATTAGGTTCTCATTAGCAAAGTGACTATTTTCTTCTGAGGGACTGATCAAGAAACAGCGTTTTAAACTGATATCTGGTCCAGACATCGAAAGCTTGGTTGATAAAAACCAAGGTGGACTTAAGTTTTAAAAAAAGCTTTTTAGTCCTGTTTTGATGAAAATGAAAATGCAAACTGGACTTTCAAGCACGTGCAGGACAAGCCACGCCTCTTTTAAAGTAGGTTCGCAATGCGTATATACCAAAACATTTTTTCTTTGACTGATGCACTACTGTATTGGCAAAAGCCTCATTTTAGTGTGTGTTCGTCTTATTTTCCATTAATTAAATGCTACAGAACCACATACTTTCACTCTCGACGACTCTAAGAGAAAACGCCTAATACGTTTTTCTGTCATTTTGGTATTGTTCTGAGCTTAAGAAGTGCGAAATATTTCACATTGATTCATTCCTAATGAACTTACTTGGGCAGTGTGGAACGGTAACTTTCAGAGTGAAAGGATTTTTAACGGCAGCCGTCACCTCAGAAGCAGCCAGGCGCTGTTTAGGTTCATAAAACACCACCTTACACCCAGATCCTCTAGAGATGCCACTGGGGGAATTCCCAAGGAAAATAAATGCTGTATTTCCTCCCTGAAAACAACAAAAAAGAACAAACACATTAACAGATATTTCACGTAATATATTGGTCAAGAGATTTTCAAAGGAAGTCAAACACACTATTAAATAAATTAGTTTGAGACAAAATTTACTGAATTGATTGGCAGAGTGTAGGACAATGACATGCCACTGATGCCTAATGTAACCGATCAATGGCTATCAGCATTTACTTAACTATTTAGCCATATTCACGATGAAAAAATTGCTTAATTGAAATGTTAAATGTATCATTTTGTTTGTGTGAATTTTGTTTTTGTATACCACCTCTAGTCTCCTTCGATTTGCGGCCGTCTTTAGGGTCGTCACGCAACGCTTCTCCTCCTCCCTCCTTGGGAAGGGGCATCACGCAACACTCCTCACCAAGAAGGAGAGGAGAAGGAGCGTTGCGTGACGCCCTCAAAACCGCTGCGAAGGAGACTATACCAACCTCTTGCGTATCTCATTCCTGAAGGTAAATGTTATTTTTTGGAGGGAAGGGGGGAGGGGTGGGGGGAGACAACTGGCATTTGCACACAGTCCACTTGTAGATCAAGCAAACCAAGTCATTCAAAACCTTGTGACAGACACGAACTCCTGTTAAAATTTCCAATTAGTTATTAATTTATCAATCCATATTATTATTAAAGCCAACCTGATAAGGTCCCTCATTAGGATCAATTTCTTGGACAAGATTTTCTTCTACAGAGCCCTCAGGAGCAGCTGTTCAAAAAAGTGATGACAAAATTAATTCAGACCCATATGCAATGTATTACATTATGTTACTGTATTTGATGAAGAAGAATGCAATACAATCCGTAAATTGTTTGTTTATTCAGTGGTCAGTTATATTGGCACACCTCTTTGTACTCTTCTGCAATGCTAAAGCTCTGATTGGCTTAGCCACCATGGTATATGAGCAATTATACCATACTTTTGTACGTGTCTGGTCAAAATCAAAAACATGCCGAAAATCGATTGTTTTTACAAATAAAATTGGAAAGAATTATAGCTATTTTTGAGCATTTTTAATACAACTATTATTCGATTCGCACTCGTTGGATGTGAGATGATTATAGCCAAAATGGGTGTAGCGTGTAGCTTCCAACGCGCACTCATGGAATAATTGTTAAATAGTCACAAATTAAAAATGGGAAACTATTTTGGACAACTTTTTGCTATTAAACAGAGCGGATTCAGATCTCAAGCTAAGCACATGGAGTGCCATTCCCATTCTTGCAACTAGGGGTAGGGAAACAAATATTACTAGCGATATGTGTTTCCTGGGTAGAAGACTAGATATCACTATATACGTGTTTTCCGCGGAACGGACACATATCACTAAAGAAATGTCTTTCCTTGGGAATGGAACAAATTTCACTAGGGAAATATTATGTGTTTTCCCTCGCCGAAAATCCATATTCCTAGTGATATGTGTTCCCCTAATGAAGAAACACACATCCCTAGTAAGATGTGTTCCCCTCTCTGGAAAACACATATCCCTTAACTGATATGTGCTCGTCTCCCAGGGAAACAAATATCCCCAGTAATATGAAGCAGGGAAGCACATATCCCTAGTATTATGTGTTCCCCTACCCAAGAAACACATATCAATAGTGATAAGTGTTCCCCTACCAAGCAAACAGATATCCCTTAAGCGACGTGTTCTCCTACCCAAGAAAAACTAATCCCTAGTGATATGTGTTCCACTACCCGGGAAACACATATCCCTAGTGAAATGTGTTCCAATACCCAAGAAACACATATCCCTAGGGATATGTGTTCCCCATCCCAGGAAACACATATCTCTAGTCATATGTGTTCCCCTATCCAGGAAACACATATCCCTAGTCATATGTGTTCCCCTTCCCAGGAAAGACATATCCCTGGTGATATGTGTTCTGCTACCAAAAAGGAAACACATATCCCTAGTCATATGCGTTAACCTTCCCAGGAAAGACATACCCTAGTGATATGTGTTCCTCTACCCAGGACCTTATATCCCTGGTGAATTGTGTTCCCCTACCCAGAAAACACATATCCCTACTGATACGTGTTCCCTTTTTCAGAAAACATATATCCCTAGTGATATTTGTTCCCCTTTCCAGCAAAGACATATCCCCAGTAATATGTGTACCCAGGAAACAAATATCCCAAGTGATATGTGTTTCCCTTCTCAGGAAACACATATCCCTTATGATATGTGCTCCTCTATCCAGGAAACACACACCCCTAGTAATATGTGTCCCCGTAACAAGGAAAGACATATCCCTAGCGATATGTGTCTCCCTACCCAGTAAACAAATATCCCTAGTGATATGTGTTCCCCTTCTCAGGAAACACATATCCCTAGTGATATGGGTTCCCCTACCCAAGAAACACATATCCCTGGTGAGTTATATGTAAGAAACCCCGGTTGTAAGAACCCCCAGTTGTAAGAACCCCTGGTTGTAAGAATTAACCCTTGGTTGTAAGAATCCATGGTTGTAAGAACACCTGGTTCTAAGAACGTCTTATTGTAAGAACCCCTGGTTGTAAGAACCCCCGGTCGTAAGAACTCCTGGTCGTAAAAATGCCTGGTTGTAAGAACCCCCAGCATTAAAAATCCCTGGTTGTAAAAAACCCTGGTTGTAAGAACCCCTGGTTGTAAGAACCCCCGGTTGTAAGAACTCCTGGTTGTAAGAGTGCCTGGTTGTAAGAACCCCTAGCTTTAAAAAACCCTGGTTGTAAGAACCCTGGTTGTAAGAACCCTTAAGAATCCCTGGTTGTAGGAACCCCCGGTTGCAAGAACCCCTGATTGTAAAAACCCCCGGTTGTAAGAACCCCTCGTCGTGAGAATCCCTGGTTTTAAGAACCCCTGGTTGTAAAAACTCCTGGTTGTAAAAACCCGTGGTTGTAAAAACCCCTGGGTGTAAAAACCCCCGGTTGTAAGAACCCCTGGTTGTAAGACCCCCTGTTGTAAGATCCTCCGGTTGTAGGAACACGTGGTTGTAAAAACTTCCGGATGTAAGAGTCCTTTGTTGTAAGAACCCCTTGGTTTATTAAGAAGCCCTGGTTGTAAGAACCCTGGTTGTAAGACCGCTGGTTGTAAGAATCCCTGGTTGTAAGAACCCCTGGTTGTAAGACCCCTGATTGTAAGAACCCCTGGGTGTGAGAACCCTGGTTGTAAGAATCCCTGGTTGTAAGGGTTGTAAGAACCCCTGGTTGTAAGAACCCCTGATTGTAAGAATCCCTGGGTGTGAGAACCCTGGTTGTAAGAATTCCTGTTTGTAAGGGTTGTAAGAACCCCTGGTTGTAAGAACCCCTGATTGTAAGAATCCCTGGGTGTGAGAACCCTGGTTGTAAGAATTCCTGTTTGTAAGGGTTGTAAGAACCCCTGGTTGTAAGACCCCTGGTTGTGAGAACCCCTGGTTGTAAGAACCCCCGGTAATCTAAGAACCCTGGTTTTAAAAACCCCTGGTTGTAAGTACCCCTGGTCGTAACAACCCCCAGTTGTAAGAACCCCTGGTCGTAAGAACCCGGCCTGGTTGTAAGAACCCCCGGTTGTAAGAACCCCTGGCTTTAAGACCCCTGGTTGTAAGAACCCCTGATTGTAAGATCCCTGGTCGTAAGAACCCCTGGTTGTAACAACCCCTGCTTATAAAACCCCTGGTTGTAAGAACCTCCATTTGTAAGAACCCCTGGGTGTAAGAACCCCTGGTTGTTAGAATCCCTGGTTGTAAGAACCCCTAGCTGTAAGAACCCCTGGTTGTAAGAACTCCTGATTGTAAGAACCTCCGGTTGTGAACCCCTGGGTGTAAGAAGCCCCGGTTGTAAGAACTCCTGATTGTAAGACCCCTGGCTGTAAGAACCCCTGGTTGGAAGATCCCCTGGTTGTAAGAATCCCTGGTTGTAAGACCCCTGGTTGTAAGAACACCTGGCTGTAAGAACCCCTGGTTGTAAGAACCCCCGGTTGTAAGAACCCCTTGTTGTAAGAACCCCTGATTGTAAGAACCCCTGGGTGTTTGAGCCCTGGTTATAAGAATCCCCGGTTGTAAGGGTTGTAAGAACCCCTGGTCGTAAGAACCCGGCCTGGTTGTAAGAACCCCCAGTTGTAAGAACCCTTGGCTTTAAGACCCCTGGTTGTAAGAACCCCCGGTTGTAAGAACCTCTGGTTGTAAGAAGCCCTGGTTGTAAGAAACCCTGGTTGTAAGACCATTGGTTTTAAGAACCCCTGGTTGTAAGAACCCCCAGGAAGAACATATCCCTAGTGATATGTGTTTTCCTTCCCAGGAAACACATATCCTTAGTGATATGTGTTCCCCTTCTCAGGAAAGACATATCCTGAGTGATATGTGTTCCCCTACCCAGGAAACACATATCCCTACTGATATGTGTTCCTCTTCTCACGAAATGTATATCCCTAGTGATATGTGTTCCCCTGCCTAGGAAACACATAACCCTAGTGATATGTGTTCCCCTTCTCAGGAAACACATATCCCTAGTGATATATGTTCCCTTACCCAGTAAAACACATAGTCTCTAGTTATATGTGTTCCCCTACCCACCAAACACATATCCCTATAGTGATATATGTTCTCCTACCCATGAAATGCATAGTCCCTAGTTATATGTGATACTTAAATAAAGTTTTGTGAAGTATCCTCCCCCCCTGCCCTCCAACTGGGGATGTACTGCTACACTTATGAATGAGAATTACTAATAATTAGATGTATATAAAAAAATTCTCTTATGTAAGGTCATTGAATAAATGAACTTACTTTCATATCCTGATGACGATACTTCACTTTTGCTAACCATCATGATACTGTGACCACTTCTTAAGAAAGGATCATCTAATTCGTGCTGATCAGGTTCAGTCAAGTATTTGATTAGACTTTCAGATTCCTAAAATACAACAAATTTATAGTTTTTAACTTACAAGAGAATCATTAAGCTATTCCAAGAGGTTTTTTTGGTTAGAAGTAAGAAAGAGTGTGCATGCGATTGCACATGTATTCCAGTTACTGAGGCATGACATGCACTCTCTGGCCTGATTATAAATAATTTGTGAAATTATAGGGCTGCTGATAGCTAATCAGATGTTTAAAAAATTGTTATACTTGTGATTATAATAAATAAAGTAAACAAATTAATATTGATATTTTACCTTAGCATCAATATTGAGAGAACTGAAATCTATAGAAGCAATTTGCGGATGCGGTGATGAATGGAGAGATTCTGTAAAATACATGGGTAAAGAAATAAGTGTCAGTTAATTACTGCAGTTACACAAACTAAGTACCCGGGGGCACTTGTGTATTTTTTGGGTGGGTATGTGCCGCCCGGGACTCCAAATTGGCACCCTGTTCTAAAAAAATTTCCTCTAAAATTGATACCCCGTTCTCGAAATGGGCCAATTTTTTATACCCCATTCTAGAATTTGCCCTAAAACTGACACCCCTTTCTAGAAATGGGCCAATTTTTTATACTCCTTTCCAGAAAGTTTGTAAATTGAAATAGCCCTGTTTTTTTAAAAATATTTTTCTTTATTTGTTCGACTTATACATCAAATAAATGCTTCTTCATGATCAGCAACAATTTTAAGCAGAAGATAAAGCCATGATCCACAATTTTTTATACCCCATTCTAGAAAACGCCTCCGAAATGGATACCCCGTTCTAAATCAGGAGCTTCAAAATCACGACCCCGTTAGGCGGCACATACCTGTATAGGTAATGTATTGGAGTTACCCCCCCGCCTAAGCACCTTGATTTATAGAGAAGCAAAAAGAACTTTTTAGATCAAAAGAAATACTGATTAATTAATCTGCAGGGTTCAATTGAGCATTATTATAGTAATTGTGCTTCATTAGTGGAAAAGTCATGATAATTAAAAGCATTGATTATAAATTAAATTTTACCATAAGAGCTATCTCCAAATGCCTCCGTTACCTTTGGACTGACAGAAGAAGTTTTAGACACTTTATACTGAAATAAAGAAATTAGAAAATTTTTTCAGTGTTAAATGTTAATTTTGATTGAAGTGGTTAAATGTGTCCCTTCTTGAACTTTGACCTATATTTCTATCAAAGCAGTTTTAAACAAAAATAAGCAAAAAACCCCCTGACATGACAGTCATTCTCAAGGGGGTGGGGGTGCAAGGGTAGGAAGAAGAGTGCTGATCATAGGAACCAGAGGAGCTGCCTGCTTACATCCCCTCCCCACAAGAAATAATGCTACCATTGCAGAGACTGATTTTCTCACTTATTGGCAGCTAGGGGTATTTTGCAGAAAGCCAAATGGCTTTCCAATGCCAAATAACTCTGAAGTTTAATGATTAGGGTTATATGTGGGATTAAACTGAGGGAATCATGCTTCAGGACAGTTTACCCAGTATAGAATGGAGAGCAACACCTTCCAATTTGCCACTCAATAATAACCCTAAATGGAACCTGATTCATTCAGTTTCCTAACCCTAATTGCTAAACTTCAGAGTCACTCAGCATTCAGGGGCCATATGTGACATTCTACAAAATACCCCTAATCCCTCCAAAACCGGCACGTTCACAAGCTCAGCTCAAAATACATTCAATTCACAATGAAGAATATTGATCAATTCGTAATGATTCACTCTGGAAATACAAAGGAATATCAGCTTACCAAATGTCTTGCAAACTTCTGTGTCACGGTTGAGGGCAGTCTAAAACGGCGTTTTATGGTCCTTTTTCTCCTGTCCATCACGATTTTTTCGGAGAATTCCATAGCACCCTTATCTTTGTAGGCGTTTAGCAGAGCTGCACGTAGGGTGTTACTCGCCGTTCTGTGGTTAAACTTGATGTTTTTAGGACTTTTTGACTTTCGATCTCGACGCCGCGATCTTCTCCAGTCAAACCAGTATTTCCAGACCACAATCTGCCAATCTAACTCGTAAATTCCCTTCTGACGATCGACAAAACGGGCGACCTTGCCTTCGTTAATCAAAGATGAGATCCATCCATAAATTCCTTCATCTGGAAGCTGATGCAGACCGCTCGAACTTGCTGTATCGAAGACAAAAAAAATATTTTTACTACAGCAAAGATAACAAGATTTAAATAAAATCAACCTATAAGCTTATGTGGCTAAGGCATATCTGCTTTTGCGATACAACAAGAGCAAAATAGGGCCAAAACAATGTTTTTGTTCACCATCCTCCAAACGTACGCACGATGTTTGGGACATTAATAATTACATTTATACCTGACTGCATGTATTTAGCTTAAACTGATTGTCAAAGAGTGTACACAGAGCGATTCAACCTGCGATCGTAGCTTATTGGGCCATCGTATGAAAAAAAGAAATTAATGACCATTAATTGACTCCTACTTTGCCTTTTAAAAATGGCGGCGTTCATGTTGAAACGTCGCCAAGTATTATTTCAAAGCTCACCTTCTGTTCCAGTAGAACTTGTGTTTGAGCTCGTACCCTCGGATCCACTGTTGAATTTGGCTCTGTTTATTCCCGAAAAAGACCAGAAGGAAGAAGGAGAAGAACTAGACGAGGAATATTCTTCATCTGAGGAAACAGCATTCCCTCCCTCCGCCATTTTGCTTTACCCAGCCGACTTGAGCATGTCCAACTAGAGACTGGAAACTAGTTGGACAGTGTTTACAAACATGGGGAATCCCCTATTCGTTCATCGCCCATATTTCCGCCTTCTCCTCGAGTCGACTCTCGAAAAAGGTCACGCGAATAAAGAAATATTAAGGCAACGCCTAAGAATAAAAATCGGGAATTTTGCGACAAAATGATGAAAAATACAAAAGGGTACAAACGTGACAAAGGTACAGAGACTGGGTCACCGTTCTGAAAACATAACAGCGAGGAACCCAAAAGTGTTACCGTTTTTGGTTTATACCAGCTGTTTATACACATTCGTTCGTTCAGATTTAGCCTGTTCCAGGCTCCGAGATAGTCGGGTCCGCTGAATTGAGAAAGCGTAAAGACGAAACTTTTCGCGTGCCTTTTTCTTTCGCGTTTTCCCCACTATCTGCACTAGCCTGGAACAGGCCAGTGCAGATTTAATCCAAGCAGACGCCAGCTGGAAATTGTCTTCGACTTCTGAATGGTTAATGTTTGCATGAGAGAATGTGAGTTTAATAATAAAGGAGGTCATGGCATAACTGTCGTTTATGTCACACCTCAGCTGAAAATCAATCTCTAAGCCATATGTTAATAACTTGAGAGCGTGTTCACAGACCTCTATTTTCACTTCAAAGACCGTCGAGCGCGTGATAAAAAACAAAAACTGCAGGGGATTTATTGACCACCAGCACATGGGGGTAGGGGTGGGGAAGAAGTTCTCGCGCTCCGCGCTCTCGCTTTTCGCGCTCGCCGATGTTTTTGAAAAGAACGAAAAGAAAAATAAAACAACATTTGTGTACAGGCTATCATCGTTTCGGACTCCCTTTCAGCGCTTTTCTAACGGGCTGTGGTATCTGAAAGGACTATTCTGTATGGCTGGCACCAAGGAACTGCTTTAGCCTGCGAATACAGCCGATTCTTCTAAAGGGAGAGAGAGAAAAACAAAAAAATTTTTCGCGGGACCCACCTCTAGTGTCTAGGGCGAGGCGCGCGAGCAGTACACGTGTTCGCGAAGGCTAAAACTAACTACTTCGTATTGGTAGTGCCAATTATCATTATCAATTATCAACGAGTGTACACGACGGTATCCTAGATTTGAAAGATTTCTTTTGCGCTTTAATAATATCAACAGTATTCTCCCCAACATAGCCTCAAAAACTAACCGCTAGCACAATTATTCAACAAAAAAATGGCCAAACTACTTCAGCTAAGTGAATGCTAGTGTGACATCCACAGCTACATATTTCATGTTCATTTGCCTCTACTGTTAAAGGAAGGAAAGAAAAAGGAAAGAATAAGAGGACCGGTAGGAACGAGTACGACTAAAAGTTATAGAAGTGAATGAATCTATGATTTTACAGATAACTTACACTATTTCCCGTGGGGGGTGGGGGGGGGGTACTTTAGGACTTTTTGGGTGGGGATGTGCCGCTGGGACCCTTAACCTATACCAGAGCTAGTTCAAGTGAATTTTGCTACCTTGTACTAGAGTAAACTCCCCCAATCCCCCTATCCTAGAGTAGCTGTTTTCCAGAAACAAGTAAGGTCACTTGCACAGTCCAGCCAAAACAAAACCGATTTGATTTTTTTATATTCTTGAGTGGCAATTGCCGGTTTCCCTTGTCCAGACTAAAATCTTCAGCCAATTGATCAGTTTAAATGCAAAATGATACCCTCTTCTATACCCAGACTCTCTGATTTATATACCCTATCCCAGAGTAAACTGCTTAAAAACCATACCCTTCACAGCGGCACATACCTATATAGCCCATATATGGCAGTACCCTCCACCCACGGGCTCTATTGCAACTGCATGAACTCGTGAAAAAACGAAGTCTTAAGTCCAAAGACTACTGCAAAGCTGATAACAACGTGTCAAACCATACAGTAGTCTTGGGACTTCTCGTGTTTTCATGTTCTCAATATTTTTACCTGATTAGAGATCTAATCAGCTAAAAATATTGGGAAAATTTAGCGAGTATTTTTGGTGGCTTGAGTTAAGTAGAGAGTTTTTTTGGATATTTAAAACAATCTGAAGATTCGCAGTAGAGCCCGCGTATCCCCACCACGAAGTTCTGCGAGAATACAACAAAACATGTTAAGGCTCGGACTCGGCACGGGATTTATTCGGGGGGGGGGGGAGGAATTTTTTCCGGAGTATCCCCCCCCTTACACTGCCCCTAGGACAATTACTTGGGTACAAACTTCCATTTTTCCAGCCAAGTTGTCTTAGATATAGTAAATATATCTTTTATTGTCAATTTGCCCTGGAAAATGCCCTGGCATCGGCTGGTCATGACGTGTAATAAATAAGCGCTATGTAAAATGCGAAAAGCTCAAATTATGCGTAACCTCACAGTGGGCGAGTTTGACGAGTAGGCTACAGGATTTTCTTTTTGTTAAAGACATGCCGTGGTATTTTATTGTCAGCTCCTGACTCCTCACATTTCGTTAGTGATTAGCCCCGAGGTGAGGCAGTCTCTAAGCGATTAAAATGAATTTTAGGGGCGCACACAGAGCAAAATTCTGGTATCTTTTAGGGGTATTTTGAACTTTCTAAGGGAGGGGCGATCTCCAAAATTTTTTTTCGGCCCTTCGAGACTCAGTTTGATCTAAAAATAAAGGGGTGGGGGCGGGCCCCCCAGGATACGCCTCTGATCACATTCAACCCTCGAGTGTTATTTATCTTCTTAACTCTTTGACCATTTCTCTCGAGGCACAAGCATTCTCTTCTCACTTTGGAGTTCGTGCCCAATCTGTAGCTCAAAAGACTAAAAGCAAGAATATCACAAAGTACGTAACTCTAGAATACATTTTGTTTTGTTATTGTCAGAGAAATGGGGCAGAAACATAAGATCAAGGTCGTTGTTTGATCGAGTTTCGCCTTAGCCTGTTTGACCCTCTATAGCCAGCTAGTAAGGGCACCCAACGTCAATTTTTGGAAAATATCTGTTCGGAAGACGATTTGAGATTGAGATCTAGAATTTTCGGGACATTTGTTGTAAAATTTCTTGCTTGCCTGCCTCTCCTAGGATTTTCGAACATCTAAAAAATGGTATCTTGCCCATTTTTAACGGATTTTTACCCTAAAAAGGTCAACTAGAATTTTCGGGAGCCTTTTTTCTGGCTGAAATTTTCGAAAAAGTAAGTTTGATCCCTATAATTTTCGGATCACTAGACTTTCAGCCAGGAAATCCGAACAGATGTTTCAGTTATTAGGAACGGTAAGCAGCGAACTCAAAATCCTTTAAAATCGCTCAAAAAACCGCTTTTGAGGCAAAAGGACGATAATATACCACAGGTAAGGTAATTCAACGTTTATTTAATTTTGATTTATAGAATTATTTAGCGATATATCGTTATAGCTGAAGCAAACGGTAAATCCAGTACATTTACCATAAAATAACCATCGGCTGAATCGGTTACACACACAATGTTCCCTGTGCTTGAATTTTATGCTTGAGAAAAACTGTGGTAAAAAGAAATTTCGGTCAACCGCGCCGTAAGAGGGGCATTTTACTGTCAGTGTTATCGAGCAAAATTTTTCTTCTCTTAATATCGCCTAACTTTTACGTTGGCACAGGTCTGTAGGAGTTTGATCCCTTAAAAAATGCTTGCACCAAATGTGAAGACAGCTGTCGTCATCCTGGTAATGATTGTGCCGTTTGTGTGTGCGTATGTCGATAAAGCAGGTACTGAATAAATATTGCTGCGAAATCAAATTAATTTAAGTGATCATTTGATTTTCAAAACATTTTCGGGACTAAGGTTGAAGGGGATATGTCATGGCGAGTTCCAGGCTTTGCAAAATTCATAACCTGGGCTGGGTTGTTCAAAGCTGGGGAAATTTGAATCAGATATGAAAGGTTAAAAGGCAAATTCAGTTTTAATTTTTTTTGTCTACAATTTGATGATTGGAATTAGATGCCTAAAAGTAATGGAGAGAATTACCCGATAAATCGACTTAAAAATCTACCGGATTAAACTTTAACCCCAGGCAATTGACCTTCGAAGAACCTGAGGTATTGTTAGCAATCTTTTGTCATACTTGGAACTCTAGAAGAAAAATATCAAATTTTTCTTGCAAAGAAAGAACAGAGCGTGATCGGGTTTTGGTCATTTGTAGACAACACCTTGGCCAAATTCCTTCAATTTTTTCAATTCTTTTCAAGTTCAAACATGGATGTCATGTACTTTTTTAAGAGCATCTGAAAGAAAAAAAAAAATCTGTTCATATTCTAAAACTGTGACGAGAAATTCATTGGCCAAACGTTTGAAGAAAGTCAAGGAGGTGAGGTTGTTAATAACTTGACCGAAAGATACAAGTAAATACGAGCGCAAAAAGTCGACCTTTCGTCGTCATCATAACGCCATTATCAAGACTATCTAAGTAAAATTTTTTGCGTATAAATGTATCAGTATAGGAAAATTACTGAATTCAGTTTTCGTGGGATGTGACGAATTATGCAGATCTCGGAGGCTGTATTATCTACCTCTGCCGATAACATCCTCCTCGATCCAGTTAACCTACATAATTCATCAAGTCATACTCAATCTCATTCATAAAACATAATTGTTAAATAATCTTAAAAACCCTTTGAGACGGAAAACTATACAATTTTCACCTCTAAGGGACACGGCGAGTAACATGCTGATCATTTTATATGCCCCCCTCCTACACGTCAACCGGAAGTGGACTTTGGGTAAAGGATTTGCTAATTTCTTTAGTAAATCGTCTCTTAGAGCAAAGACACCTAGGAAAACAAATGTGTTCGCGTCAAGGCATTTTTTAAGGGAAAAGATCTCATTTCCGGATGACCTGCGTCGCTCAAAGACGTCTATTATGAGTTTTCGATCAAGTTCTGTACTGGCATTTGTACATTTCATCTCACAATAAACTGTCTTTTTTTCCCGAAAGGCAGCAACGCAGGTTTTATTCGTTGCCGTGACGGAAGACGTTGCGAAGACCGTAAAACATGCTGTTATTATGCACGTCTCCGAAGATACGCCTGCTGTAATAGCCCATTTGCTAATTGTTGTCATGGCAGCATGGACGGAAAGTGTTGTCCATATTTTTACAGGTAAGTTTGCTTAAACTATACAATACTATGCGGAGAAACTACTTAGCTCCTGGTGGGGAGGGGGTGGTTCTACCCGAAATGGGTTCCTTTTTTAGGCCTCACGTATATGACATTGTATCGCCCCATGTAAAGGAATCCAGGGCAGTCTTGGATTCTGGATTCCAATCGTTAGTGGGATTCCGGATTCCATAAGTAAAATTTTCCCGGATTCTGGAATCCGAATTCTCTTAAATGGGGCGAAATGGTACGGTTTTTACCAGCGAAAGTATATAAAAGGGTAGGGAAATCCGTACTTTTCACTCTGTAAAAAGGCCCAAAAGGGCAGACATATGCATTTTATGGCTGTGAAAAAGTCGTGAAAACGTCCTGGTTTTGTGAGTTATTCATGCCAGCATGTGAAAGAGATACTATTTGTCAAAGGAAGGTATATCGTATATAACACGAAAGGGGTACCTTTTCTGCAAAAAAGTGGTAATTGTGTCAAATGCAGGTGAATTTTCTTCGAGTTAAATTCTTGGGGACCGCACTCAATTTGAGAAAGGAAAAAAAAAAATAGTCGCTGTGTCTTAACGTCCTGCATAAACGCCGCATAAGGAAATTTCACGCCGGGCTTGTGCAGCCAAGAAACCAAGGAAATAAAATGTACCAAAAAGTGTGCTGCACGTGCAAAATTGTTGTTTTGCTTTTGTTGACGTTCTCGTCTTTGCCATCACTGTCTTTGTTGCTCAAGCTCTCCACATGAACGCCATATCAATTGCACGCCTTTCTTTTTTCAAGGATCATTTTCGGTTATAGCAAAAATTACGTACTCACTGTCAAGAGGGACGCCAGTGGGAGAGAAAGACCGCGTCTGAGCTCGGACAGATGCAGTAAAATTTATCGTCTCGCCATTCACGTTGTCTTTAGAACTTTAGTCAGATATTTTACGGCGTAGTTGCGGAGGGACCGCATCGAAATTGACAGAATAGCGTGATGCACGTGCAAAGTTTTTGTTTTGCTTTTTGCCGTTCTCGTTGCGGTCGCCGTTGCCGTTGCTTTAACTCCCTGTTGTTGTGATCCGGAAATTTAGCTACCATGGTAACATGACGTAACACTTCTCATCCCTATTGGTTAATGACCGCAGGTCTGGGAACGAGAACGGGGGAGACTGAATCAGAGCATGCGCCAGTCTTATTCAGCAACTCTCTGGCTTTCTTCGCTTGCTCTACTTGACTCGGCTAAGAGGCTGACCCTCTCTTCCGGGACAACTATTCTCCTTATAAACGGGCCTAAATCTTTCCTAATCCCCCGTTAATATTGCTATTCTTTCTTTGCTTTGGAGGTGTGACCAAGCGACAAGAAAGTGCGTTCAGCCGCGTTTTCCAAGTTTAAATAACAGGAAGTCAATCCACTTGGATGCAACTGAAATTCGTGGTTGTGAGAGAGAATTACTCCCAGATCAGCGTCTCGACTTCGAATAAGAGAATCTCTTCAAAACGGAAGATACATTTTTTGGCAAGTTTTCTTCAGTTGTAATGAAGCTTCAGTGACTGATAGTTCGCACGAGTAACAATAGTCGATCGCGTGCACATTTTTTCCGACGACCTTTCTTGAAACAGCTGTATACAAGTACTTCAGGTTGTCTGCAGTTGCATGATATGTAATCACACGGCTTTAGAATAAAATCCATTAAAAGGGGTATTCCTTCCCAGGGCACCACAGGTTTTAGTCGCGGGTGCGGCAATTGAGTGCGGAGATGTTTTGGGATCGGCCACAGGTCGATCACACGTCTTCGGTCGAAGCCCGAAGCCACGAATGGGTCACAAAAAAGACTTGACCAAAATCAAAACCGCGCATGAAAAGACTCTGGCACCCAGTAGGGAGTTCCAAGCCCTTTTTTAAAAGCTACTCAGGTGGGTTAGACTCCAACACGTCTAAGTAATCACTTTGAAAAGTTCAATTATACAACAATTCAGAAGGAGTGCTTATGTATTCGTATTGAAGCTCAATTTCTCGACGTTTATCTCTAGGTTAATAAATGCTTCTTGTTTTTTTTGACCAGGTGTAAGTGTTTGAATTTATTATCAGGGATTTTATTTACATTGTGGGGATTAAGTGTGATAAGCCTTTGTAAATGAAATAAAAAATCACAGTAATCCTACTTTTGACCGAGACCCCACAAAAAGATCAATATATCTTGCTTTACTTTTTCACTTCCATTAAATGGCGAGCAAAACAAAAACAAACAAACAAACACGGAACAAAAAACAACGAAAAAGTATACAGTCTTATCAATAGTAGCACCATAGGGTTTCGTCCACACATAAAAAGGTTAGCGACCAATAATTCTGCTTTAACTTTATCACGAAGAAAATGGGTGAATTAATTGAAAACCAACTCACTGGTGTCACCAAGACTGGACACGACGCAGAGTGAAATAGGGCAGTCACAGTAGCATATTGACCCCGGTGAAAACTAAAAGGGGTGTAAGGTAGGGTAGGGTACGCCTTTTATCGCTTTGTTTCCCTTGGGGGAGAAGGGTGGTGCAATGGTGATAGCACTCGCCTCCCTCCAGTGTGGCCCCGGGGTTAAATCAGACGCCATATGTGGGTTGAAGTCTGTTGTTGGTTCTCTCCCTTCCTCTGAGAGGTTTTTCTCCGGGTACTCCGGTTTCCCCCTCGCCAAAATCAGGACATCGCTATTGTTTCGAGTTTTCAAGTGCGAGATATACCTATCATTTGGGGACATCAGGTGCGGGATATCGCTATTGTTTGGAGATCTCGAGCGCGAGATATCACTATCATTTGAAGATATCCTGTGCGGTATATCGCTATTACTTGGAGATATCCAAGAGCGGGATATCGCTATGATTATTTGGAGATATCAAGTGGCGAATATCGTTATTGTATGGAGGACGTTGTTAATAATTTGGCTAGTCACGGTCACCACGAGCAACTAAACGAAAACGAAAATATAACAAACAAACAGCGCATAAAAAAAGGACAGAATTCTTCAACTTGACTACATAAACAAACCCACAAAATTACTTTAGCACTGTTTATTGTACTTTGAGGCGTTTCTATCCTTCTTCTATCCTCATATTTCCTTAGAGATTAGCCCTGGAGGTGAGGTTGCCCCAAAATCTGTGTGTGCAGCCGATTGTTATTTTAAAGTAAATGTACTGGATTTATCGTTTCCTTCACCTATAGCGATATATCGCTAAGTATGCATATAAATCAATGTTAAATGAACGTTAAATTACCTTACCTGCGATATGCTGTTGTCCTTTTGCCTAAAAAGGGGTTTTTTGAGCGATTTTGAAGGATTTTGAGTTTGCCGTTTACTGTACTTTACATAATTAGGAGAAAAAAACAATAGAAGTGTGGTGGTGGTGGTGGAGAGAAAACAATAAAAATATTGTAGTGGTTGTTTATAGTTTCACTATTCACGAAGCTGTGAAGAAAAAAAGTTGAGTCTAGGGTCAATGTGGGTTCCATTTGGGGTCGATGTATTTGTGGATGGAAAAATATGTAGAATAAATGAGGAGGTGGAGGAGGAGGAGGGAAATCAAGAAGGGAAATAACTAAAAATTGTGGAGGAGGAGGGAAATCAAGGTTGAGGAGGGAAAATAACTAAAAATTGTGGAGGAGGAGGGAAATCAAGATTGAGGAGGGAAAATAACTAAAAATTGTGGAGGAGGAGGGAAATCAAGATTGAGGAGGGAAAATAACTAAAAATTGTGGAGGAGGAGGGAAATCAAGATTGAGGAGGGAAAATAACTAAAAAATTGTGGAGGAGGAGGGAAATCAAGGTTGAGGAGGGAAAATAACTAAAAATTGTGGAGGAGGAGGGAAATCAAGATTGAGGAGGGAAAATAACTAAAAATTGTGGAGGAGGAGGGAAATCAAGATTGAGGAAGGGAAATCAAGATTGAGGAGGGAAAATAACTAAAAATTGTGGAGGAGGAGGGAAATCAAGATTGAGGAGGGAAAATAACTAAAAATTGTGGAGGAGGAGGGAAATCAAGATTGAGGAGGGAAAATAACTAAAAATTGTGGAGGAGGAGGGAAATCAAGATTGAGGAGGGAAAATAACTAAAAATTGTGGAGGAGGAGGGAAATCAAGATTGAGGAGGGAAAATAACTAAAAATTGTGGAGGAGGAGGGAAATCAAGATTGAGGAGGGAAAATAACTAAAAATTGTGGAGGAGGAGGGAAATCAAGATTGAGGAGGGAAAATAACTAAAAATTGTGGAGGAGGAGGGAAATCAAGGTTGAGGAGGGAAAATAACTAAAAATTGTGGAGGAGGAGGGAAATCAAGATTGAGGAGGGAAAATAACTAAAAATTGTGGAGGAGGAGGGAAATCAAGATTGAGGAGGGAAAATAACTAAAAATTGTGGAGGAGGAGGGAAATCAAGATTGAGGAGGGAAAATAACTAAAAATTGTGGAGGAGGAGGGAAATCAAGATTGAGGAGGGAAAATAACTAAAAATTGTGGAGGAGGAGGGGAAATCAAGGTTGAGGAGGGAAAATAAATAAAAATTGTGGAGGAGGAGGGAAATCAAGATTGAGGAGGGAAAATAACTAAAAATTGTGGAGGAGGAGGGAAATCAAGATTGAGGAGGGAAAATAACTAAAAATTGTGGAGGAGGAGGGAAATCAAGGTTGAGGAGGGAAAATAACTAAAAATTGTGGAGGAGGAGGGAAATCAAGATTGAGGAGGGAAATCAAGAATGAGGAGGAGCTGGGAAAAGATTAAAATTGTGGAGGAGGGAATTCAAGAATGAGGAGGGAAAATAATGAAATTGTGGGGTAGGAGGAAAAATGTTAAAATTGCGAAGGAGGGAATAAAAAAATTGAAAAGGAAGAGGGAAAATAATAAAATTGTGGAGGAGGAGGAAAATAAAAATGAAAGGGGGAGGGGTAAGTAAAAAATTATGCATAGGGTAAAAAAAGATTTCTTGCCTTAACTTTGACTATTCTAATAGATTCCTTTTAAATCACTGAGTATTTTATCTTTTTGCAATTATTAAAGGGTCATAAAGTTGATTTCTTATCTCTTAAGAAACGTGTCTGGTTTCATTGCCCGTATATCTATAAGTCGCGTGTTTTAATTGATCCTTGTTAAGTGTTATACTTCAAGGTTCTCCCTTGAAGTTTTTACTACAGCGCTGAACCAATTTGTATGCAAATACAGGCTTGTTAACTCGCATAATTAACTGACTAACGGCGCGTGAAACCACAAGACTTCAGTAGTTTTTCATTTCCTCGAGATAGAACGGAGGAAACGGTTTTTGTAATAGTCAGTCAAAATTGAAATAGAGAGTTTTCGTGTCTCCACTTCGTGTAAATGTGTGTGTTTTGATTATATATATCCGACTTTTAGCGCTAAATAACAAGACATAAGGAGTTTCTCGTGTTGCTAGGCGATCGCACCTCTTAATCCTATTTTTAAATAAACGTTCCTCTCATCAAGCGCCGAGACTTCAATAGTTAGTAGTTTCCTCGAGATAGAATGGAGAAAACGGTTTTGTAATAGTAAGTCAAAATTGAAATAAAGAGTTTTCAGCTGCGCTTTCTGTATGTGTGTGTGTTTTGTTTATATTTCCGATTTTTAGCGCAAAATAGAAGGCGTAAGTCGTTTTACGTGTTGCTAGATGATCTCACCTCTTATTCCTATTTTTTAATAGACATTCCACTCATTAGGTTCTAGACTGGGGTTTAATGAAGAAACCCCAAATAAGGGTTTACTTTAGAACCACCTGTTGCTTTCTATAGAATTTTTATACCCTGTACAATACTTTCTACAGACTCAAGTAAACAGAGATTGACATTTTTGCTTGACAGGCAGTCAAGTCGGTATGTTATGAATATGACATCATCATGACCAAGTAGGAACATGATATCACTTTTCTATTAATAGATTATCATCTCAACATTTTTTGATGATGGCAACTCCTAGGGTATGCTGACGTCACTTGCTCCTTGCCAACTGAAAAAAAAGTATGACATCATCCTATCTGAGCAATTTAATGAGATTCCTGCCCGTGAAAAAGGCCTAAAACATCCCTCCCCCGCTACTCCGACCTGTGGTCGCCCTTGAGAGATTAAAATGAACTTAGCAGCGCACACAAAGCAAAATTCTGGTACTAACCTGTGTACAAACCCCTCCCCCACCCCTCAGGAAAAATCGGAGAAGAGGCCCTTCTCCGATTTTTCCTGAGGGGATGGGGGTCTGTACACAGGCTATTCTGGTACCTTCTAGGGGTATTTTTGAACTTTTCAACGAAAATCCAACAATTTGTAGGATTATGCCTTCCTCCGCCCCTAGGGTGCCGATGGCAAATCCCTGCGTCCCATTTACTAGGCACTAAAAGTCCGAGCCTCGAACATTGGACGTTAATTTAGTCGACATTTCTTCTTTAAAAACTTAATTTAATCCCATTTAACCTTTGTTGTTTTTACTACCTGACAAGTTGAAATAAGAAAGGGTGAATCGCGCTCGAGTGCAGGGGACCCGCTCGTGCAATGCGAGTCCTAACGTGTCGTTGAGCTTCGATCCTTTTCTTACATGTATCAAATAATAGCTGGTTTCTCATCTTGCTACCATGTATGACCGTTGGTTGTATGGTAGGCATGGCATGGAAAACTTTATTTCTGGAACAACAAAGTTCTCAGGGACCAGTACTTAACTTTTTTGGGTCATTCATTG